CCACCTCCTTCTCCTAGGAAGTTCTTATTCTCTCCTCCCTGCACCCTGCCCGCAACCCAAATATCAAATCTACACTCAAAACAAGGTTGATGTTTTCAAATAGAACTCCAAATTTTTCTTCATAGATTAATGAAATCTGACTCTATAGTCAAACTACCACTTTAAAAGCTCAGCTCTTTTCTTCTTCCTCATTTAAAAAATAACAATTTTGGAGAAAAGAAATACAAAACGGAGGTATAATACATCTCCTATGATCTCACATTTTTAGGGTTATTTTTTCTTGCCAACTGATCCTGCATTCATGCTAATGTCCTCTTTTTGTATCCTTAAAAGTACTCAGTTGTTCCATCAAAAGCCAAAAGGAAAATAAACTGTGTTTCTCAGGCAATGTGAGGTGCTAAAAGAGGAGTCCAGCATTTTGTGAACAGTTTTTGATTAAGGGGAAAAAACCAATTTTAGTTACCAGGTTTTTTTTTTGAAGAAGAAAAAACTGGTAAGTTGTAAAAAGAAAAAAGAAAGGCTTCATTTTGAACTTGTTTGTTTTCAGAATATGCCTTCAAGAAATTTCTATAAGAAAGTAAACATTAGGTAATGGTATAAGACCTGTTGTCTCAAAGTGAAAGAGAAAGTTTGCAGAGTTATGAATCTGAATATCAGTACCAAAATTTCTGTTTTCTGATTAACATTTAAGTTTCTAAACATGACAGAATTATGCAAGATTAAAAAAATGTGTGTAGGTGTTTGTGTGTATATATGTACATGTCTTTATGCTTAAAGACAAAAGGTTGATCATAAAAGTTGTGTATTACTTTGCCCTGGCCGGTTTGGCTCAGTGATTAGAGCATTGGCCTGCGGTCCAGAGAGACCCGGGTTCAGTTCCCGCTAAGGGCACGTACCTTGGTTGCAGTTTGTCCCCGGTCCTGGTTGGGTCATGCGGGAGGCAGCCACTTGATGTGTCCCTTTCACGTCAGTTTCTCTTTCTCTTTCTCCCTCTCCTTCCCTCCCACTCTATCTGAACAAAAAATAGAAAAATGTCCTTGGGTGAGGATTAAAAAAAAAAAGGTTGTATTACTTCATACTAAATTAAATTTGGGGAAAAGTATGCTTAATTTCTACTATTCAGAAACCACAAAATAAGGAAAAGTTGATATGAAAATAAATTCCTTTCCCTCCCTCAATGTACATAATTCAAATCTTTCTTTGTTACATTTAAACTACATCCATGTACGACTCCTGGTGTTAAAGGCAGAAATAAAACTATTAATTTGAACCAAAAAAAAAATGTGTGTGTGTTTGTGTCCCTATACATTATATGTTTATGTGTGTATGTACACACATATATGTGTATACATACTAGGTGGGGCAAAAGTAGTTTTACAGATGTGAGTATAGGAAAGTTTATTCTTTTTTTTTTTTTTATCCTCACCGGAGGACATTTTTCCATTTTTTGTTCAGGTAGAGTGGGAGGGAGAGGGAGGAAGAGAGAGAGAGAAACATCGACGTGAAAGGAATACATCGAGTGGCTGCCTCCTGCATGCACGACCCCACCAGGGCTGGGGACAAACCGCAACCAACGTACGTGTCCCTAACAGGAACCGAACCTGGGTCTCTCTGGTCCACAGACCAAGGCTCCAACCGCTGAGCCAAATTGGCCAGGGCAATTTACTCTTTATTATTGTTTATTAATTACTGTATTACTGTCCATATGAACTGTAAGCCTATTTTTGCCTCACCCTGTGTATATACACAAATGTAAATATAGGTGTATGAAACATACATATAGCACATTATATATATACATATCTACGGAAACCACATACTACTTATCAAAAGAAATCACATATTTTGGAAGGACAAACTGACTATGAATACAAATCAGCAGATCAATTCTCCTCCCATAGGGAGATCTGAGAATTTTAAGGTTCTGAGCATAAATGCTTCTAGCCTTTTCCAGCAGGCACAACACCAAGGTGGTGTCTCAAAAGACAAACATACTTTTGTGGTAGATAACTGTTTTCTTGGCCTCTGAATAACTGTGGCCACATTCTCATGAAGAAAATTGTGGCCTATTTTGCCAGTTATTTTATTTTTCCAGAGTAGGAAAATTTCCACCCTAAGGCATAGCAACTAACATTCTTAAAGAAAAAGCCTTCTTGCTCATTATTATTAGGAGGGTATTTGTCAGCTTCTCATCTATAAAGACAATCTAGTCATGGTACAGCCACTTATTACTTTCTAGAATCTGGAGCGTGTGTGCGTGCGTGTGTGTGTCCCCCAATACCTACAAATGCACATGTAAAAATTTAGCAGAATTTAGTGCAGTTTACATTAGCCTGTCTTAATAACTATCTTAGTCCTTTATCTCTCTCATCTTTAGGATATTATCTTGTTACTACTTATCCCTCCACTTCACAGGCATTTATAAATCCCTGCTATGGTTCTGGCTCTGTGCCTGTGGATGCGAAGGCTATTTTATTTCAACATGTACCATTCCATAAAGTATTTGTGATATGCAAACCCAAAGGATTCCTGCCCTGGAGGAGCTTATAGTCCTGTTTTCTTTGCCATTTCCAGAGTCAGTTCTTACAATTCATGTCATGTATAAAATGCCTAATCTTGGTATATAAATATTTGGAGCCAAAAACAAAGTGCACAATTCCTCTGGATCAGTTTTCATAACGGAACTCTCCTGTCTGATGTCATGTCAACACATATGGATCAGGCCAAGGGCCACCTGTGTTACACTTGTCAAAATATTGCAGCCATGACTGCACAGGAAGAACAGAGTTCATGTTTCTTCAAATTAGATTTTTCCTTTGATACAGTACAACAGAAAAAAAGTGAAAACAGTTGAAAAGTATAAAATTCTGATATTTTTTTAAATGGCAGACTCAGAAACTTTGGCTTCTGGCTTCAAAAATTTGAACCTTTGGAAAAGGATATTTAATTCCATGAACCATAGTTGGCCAAGTTATAGCCCTTTTCTTAATGTGTTCTTTAATCTAAGAGATCTTTAGATGACTGCCATTTGACTTAATATGAACATCAGCACTCAAATATATATTTTTTAATCCTCACCCAAGGATATTTTTCCATTTATCTTCAGATAGAGTGGGGGAGAGAGAGAGAAATATTGATGTGAGAGAGACACATCGACTGGCTGCCTCCCACACAACCATGACCAGCGCTTGGGACCAAACCCCAACCAAGGTGCGTGCCCTTGACCAGAACTGAACCCACAACTCTTTGGTCCATGGGCTGACACTCTAACCACTGAGCCAAACTGGCCAGGCCAGCACTCACATCTTTTAAAATATGGAGCTTTGGAGTCCAGTTCTGGACTATTATCTGAATTGGATACTGTACTGACAAAACAAAAGACATTCTGACTATGGTTTTAACCCTGAAGATATTTGAGTTGGTTTTTTAAAAAAACAAACATTTTTAATAAGAATTATTGTCTTAGGTTGGCTTTTTCCAGAGTAGACTTTAAGACAAGGATCAGAAAACAAGCAATTTGAGAAATAATCCAAAGAAAACACTGTGAAGGGAGTCGGGAAGAGAGGTGTGGAAAGGAAGGATGCAATACAAGATTACTGTAGAAAGGCTGACACTATGGGCAGTTAGGACTCTGCCCAGCTGGGGAAATCTGGGAGTTAGGGAAGTACATGCCTCAGAGTCATCCTGCTTGAGGGGTAAAGAAGCTCTGGGAGCCACTGTCCCTAGCTGTCGTAGCATTCCCACCCATCTTGGCCCAGCCAAGAGAAGCCCTCCAGAGGAGAATCATAGTTGCTTGAGTCTGACACTGGTCCTATATCTCGGAAAGGTGAGTGTTTAGGGAATCTGACTACAAATCATTTTCCTGCGCAACCTCCATTAATCCAACTTAATTCCTTGATTGCTTTTCCATATGGAGTAGTCAAATATCGGTCCCCCGCCCCCTCTTTTTTTATTTTTATTTTTATTTTTACTGCTGTTCTAGTAGACTTAACCAATTATAGTTTCAACTATTGTAAGTTTTCCTCTGTGGCCATTATTTCTATGTCCAGTGCTCTCACCTCTGCATCTAAACTTGATTCTGCACATTAAGCCATTGTCATTTTTGTTTTTGTTTGATTGCATCCACCAAGGATAACCATTATAAATTACATTAAGAAAAACAGATCTCTCTGAGACCATTTTGAGCATTACCCCTCAAATAGTCGAAGACTGCTCTACTGCCCGTGACTGTTCACCCCAGCCCTACCTCTTCCACAGTTGTGCGAACTTTATGGAATTTATAGGTTAGCCTCCTGAAACCTCAATTTACTCACTGGCAAAACTGTGCTAATAATAGAGACTTCCTAACTTCTTGTTAGGAATCAGTAAGGTAAACCATTTAGAAAATTTTCTAGCCTATAGTAAGTGTCTAATGTTGTTATTGATTATCATTGTTGTTATCTAAGATCATTATAATGATATGCCCATTATTTCATATACTACTAATCTCTTTGCCAAAAGTATACTCACCATTTACACTATTTGTAAAGAGCAAATGATTGTGTCAAGATGACAGTCAAAATGTCCCACTTCATTGGTAATATTGCTGACCTCATGGGGTTGATGCTGGCAGGGGAATACTAAATACTATGTTTAGGAGCCTGGTGCACAGTAGGCACTATGCACATGCTTTCTCCCTTTTGCTTTCTTAAGATATGAGCTTTGAGTCTGGAGGATGGGAGAGGTGGTGTTATGATGAGTTTCTTAAGCATTTATAGAAAGCAGGGCTTCCTAAGTCCAGCAGGGCTTGAAATCTACTGGTTTATGTGTCATATTGAACATCAGAGTGAGTTCCAATATCCTTTCTAAAATGTCATAAGAAAGGCTCAATTTGCCATGCTTATTTGTATGACTCTCACTCGCAATCAGCTTTTCAGGATAATCTATGTGCTATTTATAATGATGAGCTTAGACTGTTTCTATAAATTTGTGCACGTGTTTTGTGTTTTTGTCTTTTTTAGATTTAATTGTGGGTGCATTCGGAACAGGAAAAGTAGCTGTTTATAGGTATGTAGTTGATGGTGTGCAAATGTTTTTTAATTTTTTTTTAATCCTCACCTGAGGATATTTTCTCCATTTATCTTTAGATAGAGTGCAAGGGGTAGGGGGGAAGGGAAGAGAAAAACATTGATACGAGAGAGACACGTTGATTGGTTGCCTCCCACATGACCCCAACCAGGGCCAGGCCAGGGATGAATCGCTACTGAGGTACATGCCCTTGGCCAGAATCGAACCTGGGACTATTTGGTATGCAGGCCGATGCTCTAACCGCTGAGCCATACCATCCAGGGCGCAAATGTGTTTTTTTTTAAATTGAGAAATATAATTGACATGTAACATTATCTTAGTTTCAGGTGTACATAATAATTCAATATTTGTATATATTGTGACACCATCACTACAGTAAGTCTGGTTACCATTCATCACCATACACAGTAACAAATTTCTTTGGCTTGTGAAAAGAACTGCCAAGATCTACTCGCTTTGCAACTTTCAAATACATGATATAGTATTATTTACTATAGTCACTATGCTGTACATTACATTGCAGATCTTATTTATTTTATAATGGGAAGTTTGTGCCTTTGACCATCTTCACCCATTTTGCTCATTCCCCACATGACCCCCACTGCCTTTGGTAACCCCTGATCTATTCTCTGTATCTATATTTGTTTTTTTTTAATTTTTTATAGATTTCACATATAAATAAGACCATACAGTATTTGTCTTTGTCTGAATTTTCTTCACTTAGCAGATTGCTGTGAAGGTCCTTCCATATTGTTGCAATGACAAGATTTTCTTTTTGCAGCTGAGTAATATTTCATTGTGTGTATGTGTGTATATGTGTGTGTGTGTGTGTGTATCACATTTTCTTTCCCTGTTCATCCATCAATGGATGTTTTTCCAATTGTTTCAAGTTCATTTCCATTTTGTTGGTGGTTTTGCCTTAAAGAGTATACCCCAACTATTTATTTTGGAGAACAGTTAGATGCTCTTTTAAAAGTTTGGAGAAATTTTTGCTCTCATTTTTTCCCTTTCATTTATCCCTCTGTATTTTTGTTCTCCTAACTCATAACCAGACTTCTAGCCCATACTAACAATGTTAAGTAAAATATGAGCCCTGGCTGGTGTGGCTCAGGAGATTTTGCTATAAACCAAAAGGTGGCAGGATCGATTCGCAGTCAGGGCATATACCTGGGTTGCAGGTAAAATCACCAGCCAGGACATGTAGGGGAGGCAACCAATCAATGTTTCTCTCTCACATTGATGTTTCTCTCTCCCTTCCTCTCTCTCTCAAATCAATGAAAATATATCCTTGGGTGAGGATATACTAATAAATAAGATATGAATCTTAGCAGAACTTATAAAGTGAAACAATTTTAGATGTTACGATATTGAATTGCTTCCCTTTGCTTTAGAAATGCATTAAAATGTTTTTATAGAGAAGGCATCTGTGGTGGGAGAACATTACTATGTCCCTTGGCCTCTATAATCAAGTGAGGACACTAAAGGAGGGAATAGAAAATACCTGGAATTTGTAGCCTCCAATAGCAAGTATTGAACATCAGTTCAAATATGACAGGTCTGCCTTCAAAAGCCTGGCCATTCCCACACACTCTCACTTTGCAATCTTGGCCAAGTTTCTATACCTTTCTGGGCTCCTGATTTTTCATCTATAAAATGGGGATAACAATATTAACTTTATAAGTTTATTTTTGTTAAAAGGTTAAGTAGGACTCTGCATGTAAAGTACACAGAACAGTAACTAGTAGACAATTGGTGCTCAACATTTTTTAGATTATTTTTCTTCTTAAAAATAGTTTTATGGGAATGGGAGACTCTAGGTCAGGAGATCAAGACAAAAGGCAGAGAGCAGCCCCATGTGTTCTGGGCACATATTGTTGACCTAGCTCAATTCTTAGAGAGATTCTAAAGTTAGGTTTCCTCAGGTAGGCAAGAGTCTCTTCTTCACCAGTCCCAACACATACTCAGAGGGCCGATTTATATCAGCCACTCTCCACTTCAGGTTATAGACAACCAGATCATTGAAACACTTCAAGTACCAAAAGGATGAGGCTGCGTTTGCTGTGGCCACAAGGATGTGCCAATCAGAGCTGACACAGTGAAACTGACTCATGGGCCAGCTGCTGTGCTCTGGATCCACACATTGTGCCAAGGTCATGTGTTCCATGAGCTACTCCCAGCCTATTACTGGGCACAACCGGGATAGAAATGTAGGCCCAGCCTTGTGAGATGTGGAGCTCCTCTAACAGGCAATGTTGGCTCCCCCATGCCCTGGCTGGAACTTCCTCACTGGATACCCCCTCTTCCCTCTTTCTCAGCCCCTATCGCAGTCTGACCACTGGCTCCCAGCCTCCTACAGTCTCTCCCCTTTTTATCTCATAAATGTTTGCCCCCTAAATGTCTTACAGGTCTAATCCTGTCTTACTGTCTGCTTCTTCAAGGACTGGAGCTAACCCAATATTGAAAACAAAATTATATAACAGAGTACAGATAAATAAGGTAACAGAGTTTAGGAAAATTCCCAGTGGGCCCCATCATTGTAATCATTAAACAGTTCAGTGTTCTAAACAACACTGCCCTACGGCACAGTCCTCGCACCTGTCAGAAAAAAACCTATGCAATGCATTGTCCTATCACATTGTCATCTGGAGACTAGACTCCCAGCTACCACTTCTCGGAACCGAGCTTTAAATACTGTCCTGTCCCCTTTTCCTATGACTTACATTCTCATCTGGTTATGGGTTTAATTGAGTTTATATTAGTCCCTCTTCCTGAATTTGGCTGCACATTAGAATCACCTGGAATGTTTGTTTAACATTCCAGTGCCTGGTCCTGACTCCAGTGATCTGAGTCAATTTGCCAGTGGTGGGGCGTGGGCATATTACCTATTTTAATGCTCCTGATGCTTACATTATACAGTCAGGATTGAGAACCACTGCTCTGTGTGAAAATAACTCTGCAGAGAGAGCATGGCTAGAAAATGATCAAACTAAAAAATCATCAACCAATACTGTGAGAAAATTTGCAAAGCTCAAGTACTATGGACACACGATTGTAGGATGATGTAGTTCCTCAAATATGAATATAGATACAGTGGCAGGTCTCAGAGCATTATTTGACAACATCTCACCAAAACACCACAAACTCATGCCATAAGCAAAGCAGGTATGAGAAGGCAGCTTTCCTTGATGGGCCCAGGACATCCTTTATTTGTATTCACCAGCTCCCAGATGTAATGAGTTGAGTCTGGTGCCCACGTGTTTTAAGCAGTGAGGCAGATTCCTGACACAAAGGCTGGGAATGTTGGCAGTGGCCCCTAGAAGTGAAGTGTGCTTCTGCCTGTGGCTCCCACAGCTCATTTAAATCCTGTGTTTTCTCCCTGCAGAGCGAGACCTGTGGTGACAGTGGATGCCCAGCTTCTGCTGCACCCAGTGATTATCAACCTGGAAAATAAAACTTGCCAGATTCCAGAATCTACGACCTCTGTGGCCTGGTGAGTTAGTCCATTCAGACTACGCAGGAATTTTGTGAAGATGCACCTGCTGGGTCTGTTGGTCTGGGATGGGCCCTGAGACTCTGCATTTCTAAAAAAAAAAAAAAAAAAAGCTCTAAGAGGATGCTGATGCTGCAGGTCTGTGCACTAAATATGAGTAGCAAGCAGTAAGTCTTTAAAAAAGAAGCCAGAATCTATGACATAATGCTCATCTTTTGCTGTCCAATTATCACATGAAGGCTGTTTCTCCAAACAACAGGCTCCAGGTGCATCTCCAACTGCAGATTCTCAACAGCAAATCAAAAACAGTATTTTTGTACTGGCAACTGCAGATCTCAAAAACAGTTTCTATCAGTGGTTGGTTGAATCCACAGATGTGAGGAACCAACTATAGAGTCAAAAATTATATTGCTTGGGGGTGTCAGCAACCCTAACCCCCACTTTATTAGAAGGTCAACCATATAAAAACACTTGGGAAAGTTCCTAATGAAACTAATCTTTACGATCTCTTTCAGATTCTTGGCATATTGAAAATATAATAAAATACTTTGACTTTTGCATTTGCGTATACTATGGATACCACTTTTCAGACATATATAATGTCCAATAACTAATTGGGTTAAATTACTTGGTCTCCTGTGCTGAAAACAGATGTCAGTTTTCTAACTTAGCATGTACCATTAGACAGAAGGTAAACATTATAAAAATAGAGATTTTGGTGTTCTAAACTATATTTTTGTGGCCATGATGTTATCATCAGGAATGTGCCTGGGCTATAGGAGAGCATGGCTCATACAACTTATTTAAGTGTTGCTTTTGAATCTTTCTAGTCATCCAAAGGGACTACAAAATGAAACTCGGTTGTAACACAGCCAGAGAAAATACCACTTAGTTTTTAATATGCAGGTCCTCCAGGGTCAGAAGTCTGTCTTATTGGGTATATCCTCAGAATAATCAACAAATAACTTGGAGTGTTTGAGATTTACCCTCATTTTCCAGAAAATGGAAAATGCATGGTCTAACTCATGCAGTATGTTTGGTTCCTGAGAATGTCAGAATGCAGTCTTGACCCAAAGAAGTTACAGTATTTCCAGCCACTTTTTGGGTACTGTTGATGGCCTTTGAGGCAGGGGTGTGCAGAGGATCCTGAAGAATTCTTTGAAAACATCCTTTGCTGCGAGTTCCCCATTCTTGGGAGGCTGTCCTCTCTTTAACCAGCTTTATTTATTTATTTTTATCCTCACCCGAGGATATTTTTCCATTTTTTTGTACAGATAGAGTGGGAGGGAGAGAGATGAAGGGAGAGAGAGAGAGAAACATCGATGTGAAAGGGACACATCAAGTGGCTGCCACCCGCACAACCAACCAGGGCCGGGGACAAACTGCAACCGAAGTACGTGCCCTTAGCGGGAACTGAACCCGGGTCTCTCCGGACCACAGGCCGACGCTCTAACCGCTGAGCCAAACCAGCCAGGGCTCTTTAACCAGCTTTAGAAAGTAGCTGGGGAATGCCCTGACACATTTTAAAAGGGCTTAAAATCATACAATGATCTGAGAAAATATCTGAAAGAGCTAACTAGCATCTACCCTTACCCTGGCATAATTAAATGAACATAAAATGAGCTGTGAGAGCTATGTGGGCATGAGTATTAAAAATTCAGCATTTCCCCCAATAGTCCTATGTTCGCACATTCACAGCTCAGTGGGCTCTAGGCTAAATTCTTTTCAGCGTACGTGAGTGGCACACTGATATAAAGTGTTGTTTCAAACTAGATGATTTTTTTAAGGATCTTTAGTATTTTTATAAAATTTAAGTAGTTTTACCAGATTACGTGATCTGTTTGGTTTTATGGAAAGAATATTGTTACTTTGAACAAGAAAATGTCTTATGTACTGTTTTCCTTGTTGCATTAAATCATTAAGATAAAATGCAGTTTGTTATGTAGGCAAATATATAATTATTTATTTGATTCTCTTGCATACATTTTCTGAAAGATGTTTCATTTTCACATTCAAAAAATTTGAATGGTGGCTCAGAGCATTGGTCTAGAATGTGTTTCTCTGATACTTTTTAAATTTGTTCTAAGAATTTAGCTTAGTTTTTTTCTAAAATGGTTGAAAAGCATTTGTTGATTTTATTTTCTTCACTTTCACTGACGTGAATTTCTGTGTCTTTCAAACAGCTGTGTAGGTTTATCAAGCATCTACTACTAGAAGTTCTAAATTAGAAATAAAAACATAAAGCCAGCTCAATCAGTTGTAATTGTTAACCAATCAGAAAAATTAAAACTGTTTAGTAAAAAATTTTCATTTTCTAAATTTAAAAGTTTATAACTATCGACCTTTCTATCACCCATGGCCAAGAGCAATGCTGCATCACAGAATCTTTGTTCCAGCCATTATTACATTGGGTTAGAACTTGTGTCAGGGGATTTGTAGTGGATCATCCTGCCTCTGACATATCAGAAGCACCAGAGACAAGTTCATGGAGAATTTATGTGATGAGAGAGCTGAGTTGATTTTTTTTTCCCAATCAGACCTATTCAGACTATAACTCACCATTATGACTATGACCACAAATTCTAGTTTGAAATTTTAACTCAATTAGTACTTACTAATAATGGTGCACAGCTTTCTTTGATAACCAAGGACTTCCAAAACAACTTGAAAACAGAAAAAAAAAATTCCAATTTTGAAAGCCAGACCTGCTAAGAAATTTAAAGATGCAATTAACTACCCATCTTCCTGAATATATCTAATCGAAGTAGAAGTGGACTGGAACTTGTGATTTCTCTGGGGAAGTGGTAAAAACACTGTAATGACATAGAAATCTCAGGAAACTCTTGGCTTAATGGCAAGTGGCAAATTATTTACCCTGGAGGGAAACATAGACTGAGGTCACAGGAGATAGATGAGTCCCAGATGTGACACATTTTCATTATATTTGACACAGGAAGCTGACACATAATTAAAGTATGATTAGGGATTATTTATTCCTTTTAGGTTCTGTAGAAATATTCTAATCTGGTATATATTTTACTACCAAAAATGAAAAGACTGTCATTAAATCATACTTAAGTACCTTCTTATATTTTCACTTTCTTAGAAATGTGAAAAAGCCCCATCACAAAGGCTGGCTGTCAGGGCTTGACATTTTTCAGGAGGGAGGTGAGCATAATCAGTCACGGCTGGCAGAGTCAACTGGCCATTTCTTACTCCTTCTGAGGCCACAGAACAGGCCCAAGTGCAGGTCATCCTACAAGCCATGGCAGACACCCTCTGGATTATGTTCAGGGCGACACTACAAAGTGTCTCTTGTGCACGGCTCCCCTCCTTGATGTCTTTATAGCCGTATCATTGTGCCTACCTGGCTGGCCTCCTTATTGTCCTTCCCTTGAGGCTCCCTCTTCTAGTGTTTCTGTCTCCAGTTGTACCCCACCCCTGGCAAGTTACCACGGAGTTCCCCTCTTCTTCCAAGCAGAGTGGGGATGTGGGTTAATCACACCATGGTGCTCCAGGCCTCTTAGGATGAAATCCAAATTCTTTTTTTTTTTTTTTTATCCTCACCCGAGGATATTTTTCCATTTTTTATACAGATAGAGTGGGAGGGAGAGAGAGAGAGAAACATCGACGTGAAGGGACACATCGAGTGGCTGCCACCCGCACGACCAACCAGGGCCAGGGACAAACTGCAACCGAAGTACGTGCCTTAGCGGGAACCGAACCCGGGTCTCTCCGGACCGCAGGCCGACACTCTAACCACTGAGCCAAACTGGCCAGGGCTGAAATCCAAATTCTTTAACATGACTTTCAGAGCCTGTTCCCCACCGACCTTCCCCATCTTGCTCCAATGCACCAACCGTGCGAATTTCTTCAGGTTCCTCAGCTGGGGGTCATGTTCTTGCTCATCTCCAGGCTCCACCACTAGTTGTTCCCCTAATGTGCTGCCCAATTCTTCACTCTCTGGCACATGGAGATACTCATTTTTTTGAATAAAGCCAGCAAGCAATTGATTAATCAATCCACTGATTAATTCAGCTAACCTCACCAGGCTTAGTTATATTAGTGTTGTGGCCAACTGGTAGGACGTGTATATTTTTAATAAACATATATTGATAAATAAATCTATGCATATTTATTTTTTTACTTGTATGTATATAATAAGGAACGTACAGAGGAAAACCGTGTATTGGGAGTGAGGTAAGGGAAATGTTCTACTTCAGATTCAAAACTTGATTAACCAATAAATTATTGACTCTTATTTTTCATAGCTTTGCCTTAAGAGTATGTGCATCTGTAGAAGGCCAGAGCATCCCAGACACAATAGGTGAGCATGTTGTCATTTTTATCCTCCTGCAGTACCCTGAGGTCAGCGGTCGGCGGGTCTGCACAGCCCACACACACTCTCGTGAGCCCTGTAGCAACCAGGGCGCCTAGTGCGCACTGAGCCTGCTTTGTAAACACGACTCAAATAACTGGTATTACTATTATCTATAAAAGCAAATAATTGTGTGCAGGGGGCGGGGGCGGGATAACAATTTGTGGGGAAAAGCCACCTTTTTAGCTTGGAGAGTATTTCAGAAAGCTTTGCTAGTGATCCCAACTAGACACCAAATGTTTCCTGAGTAAGCGGGTTGAACTCGGAACTCCTACCTCGGATAAAGCCCTGCAGTCACAGACATGTTTCCTCTCCTGATGGCATTTGCTTTATTTCTGTCCTTCAGGCCTGGCCGCCGAGGTGCAGTTAGATTCCCTGAAGCAAAAAGGTGCCATCAAACGCACGCTCTTCCTGGACAGCCACCTGCCGCAGCGCGTCCTCCCTCTCGCGATAACACGGCCGAGATCCCGCCAGTGCCGGGACCTGGTGGCTTACCTGCGAGTACGTCTCCCTGGACCCCTCTGGCCTCGCACCTGCACAACCGCCTTCCAACCACTTTTCTCCATTTAACCTTCACCTCTATTTTCATTTTATTGGAGGAAACTTTATTTTAAGACCGTATACTCCTGTCTCAGGCCTAACTTCCTTCCACTGACCCAAAGATGTGCTGCTAGTCATTCCAATGGCTTCTTGTTTTGCTCACAGACTTGATTATAGCACTAACTCAGGTGGTTTTCATTTCTCACTGACTCCCCCGCAAAATAACATCCTTTATTTGACTTTTTCTCCTACATGAGTATGTTTGGCCAGATTTTATCAATGTGGATTTCAGAGCCAACTCAGGAAAACGTTTAGGCATTCAAAGCCTTTATTAAAAGTCATTTATAATTATATATTTTAAAGCAGTGGACTTTTAACAATAACTCCAAACATACCATGAAATTTTAAAAGCCAAAATATTTATAATACAATTATCTCATTTTCTTACCAGTTGTAAGGTTATTAGTCTTGTTTCGTCTCCTTTAATGGACATAGGGGAAATCTGATAAAGGCAAAGTTTACAAACATGCTCTAGAAAGCTGGGTGCATGACCCTGGAGTCTCATTATGACCTTGACTGGCACACTACTGAGGTAGCATGTTCACCACATGGTGTAATTGTTGGGCGTGCGCAGGGCTTGCTACTGGTGCTACTCACTCCTCCCCTCACAGGAGTTCTATTTCTTTTACTGAAGGAACTTCAAATATGCTGAAGGTGTTTTGAAGTTCATGCAAGTGAGGGCTAATGAGATGATAAATGAAAAGAATCAAGGTATTTTTTTTCTCTGAGTCCAAAAGAACTCATAGATTCTGCCAACCACATGAAAATATAAATCCCAATTTGTGAAACTTCCAACATTTATGGCATATATAAGTATGATTTTTTTTTTTTTTTTTTTTTTTTACTTTGCAATTTGGCCAATCTGTGTGAGTTTTGAAGATCTGGAGAACCTGAAGATTACCTCTAGAAGCATGTTTCAGTGAAGCCACGGCTCTAAATGATTCATCTCTGATTGTGTACTGATTAAGCTGGCCGCTGTACACCACATCAATCTGTGTGCTTAAGCTCGCAGGGGTGACAATTCCTTCAATTCCTTCATCATTCACTTTCATTGACTAAAGTCAAGTGCCTTTCACAGACTGACATCTTGCAGCTAATTCACAGAGCCCTCCTTGAGTTTGTGCTCATTTTTCCCTAGGATGAAACTGAGTTCCGAGATAAATTATCTCCAATCAACATTAGTTTGAATTATAGTTTGGATGAATCCACCTTTAAGGAAGGCTTGGAAGTGAAACCAATATTGAACCACTACAGGGAGAATGTTGTTACTGAACAGGTAGGTCCTTGACAGTCTTCGTTGGTGTCTTCTCAGCTGTTTGTCTTCATTCCTGCCCACAAACATGTAACATTTGGGAGATGTTTCTAACATGTTTCCTGAGCCCACTGCATCATTGTGTTTTCGGAAGCACGTCCCTTGTGCAACCAAGATTTAATTTGTTCAAAATGTGGCTGTAATGGAAGCAATACAGCCTGTAATCCTCAAAACATTGCCAGAGTCACATTCTTGACAGACATTTCAGAATGAGTTGAAATCGGGCTATTAAACTGGACCATATTGGGAGGTCACTGCCTAACACAGGGCTTCTAGCTGGGTAGAATCATGCCTAGTGAAATGAAAGCTTTGGTTTAATTTGTGGAATCATTCATAATTTTCAAGAAAAAGGATGTGACTCAGGTTTTCCAAGATTATTCCTGATGTGTGTTTGCACACCACAGGCTCACATCCTGGTGGACTGTGGAGAAGACAACATGTGCATTCCTGACTTGAAGCTGTCAGCTCGACCGTGAGTTTAAATAAATAAACTTGTACATTTTATCTAATGGAATACAGGTGTTTATTTAGAGCTTCTTTGGAGAAAGTATACACTTTCAATTACTACAAAGAAATACACTGCGTGAAAGTCTTGAGCTTGGCTACACTTTGGATTAGCCTGTGGTTTGGGTCAGTTCTTTGTCATTGGTGTCAAGTGATACACTCTAAGATTTCGCCTGGGCTGTTTCATCTTTCAGCAGAAATGGGAAAAAAATATTTTTCTTCAAAGTAAACTCGTCTATGGGGTGGTTCACGTTGTATTTACTTGTCTCAATTCTGTGAGCAAAGGATTCAGAGACGGGGTGGTTCCATCAACACCTTGGCCAAAACCTTTTTTACAGCATCCCATGACTCAAAGGCATTCTTAAAATTGTCAAAACAAAATCAACTTTAATTTGCTGGGGAAAAAATGTAATGGCACTGTATGGAGTAAACAAAGCAGAAGGTGTCTTAAAATCAAACAAGATCATGGGCTTCCCAGTTGCCTGTAATGACGGGTCACGAGTCCAGCACTGGAGAATTGCATTGCATCATGATATAGAAAGAAATGAAATTAAGATGTAAAACATCTATGATGGGAAAAAACAGATTCCTGCTCTTTCACCCCACCCCCCACCCCTAGGACCCGTCTCACTGCCTGTGTTTGGAATCGGCTTGGAACCTCTCAAGACTTTCTCCAAACTTCTCAAGTTAGCCAGTGTCCAAAGCAATAGCTTTGATTGAGGGTCAAAAGTGAAATATGCATTTCCAAATGTTGGTTCAATTAGAAGTTTGGAGTGAATTAAATTTCCTCAAAATATCTCACAATCCTCAGTCAGCTATTTGTGATCTTCTTTTATCTGCCTCTTTCTTCCCTCTTATTGTCCACTTTGTATTACACTGAGTTTCTAAACAGTGTCTCTCCCTTGTTTGCCAAGGCTCATCTTACTTCCAGGTGGGTGTTTTCAGGGATGTGCTGGAGCTGCTCATTCTGGTTTGTGAGCCAATTGTCACATTTTCTAGAATTTTTGTTGGCAGATTGTTAAGTATATCTGCAGCTTGAAATTGACCACAGTGGGAGGAGTCATACCACTGGAATCAGCAAATGCTACAAATAGGTGTGGGTGGGCTTTTGTTTTTTGTGGGGTTTTTTTTTTTGAGACCTGGTTGTTAAACATTGACCGGCACATCATTGGATGTTTTCCTGCCCTTCCCATCCAGACAGAGTTCTCGATTCTTCTCACTACTGCTTCATGACCATGCATCTTCTTTTTGTCCCAGTCTTGCATTTCTACTTCTTCCATCTTTTCCTCCCAGATCAGTCCTTAAATAAAATACCCATGAACCCAGAGGAGTATAGTATCTAATGATTCCTATTAAACTGCGTTTCTAGAGATAAGCATCAGGTCATCGTTGGAGATGAAAATCACCTTATGCTCATAATCAATGCAAGAAATGAAGGCGAAGGAGCCTACGAAGCGGAACTCTTGGTGATGATACCAGAAGAGGCCGATTATGTGGGGATTGAGCGTAGCAACAAGGTAATGCCTACAAATTGTTTGAAGTAGTAAAGTGCTAGGTATATTTTGGAAGTCAAATCACTGTTAAGTAGAGCCATCTTAGCTGAGAGTTTCTCCCTAAATAAAAGAGAACAAATGGCACTTTACATTATTCATTATAATAGAAATGAGCCAGGAAGGGGGATGGTCTTAAACAGTATTAATAGGTTTCTTGGCCATGTGTGCAAAGATACATTTGCCAAAGTTTGAGAGGTGAAGCAAGGAAGAGAATACAATTGGCCGAAAGAAGCAGTTTACCAGTTGATGGATCTGTCAGCTAAATTCACAAGCTAACTCCGACCCTCGCTGGCTGTTTTCAGGCCTTTGTTTTACATTCCTTCAAGTTTCAAGCAGGTCCCAGGAGGTCTGGTTCTCATTATTGCTTGTGGAGGAAGGTCCAGCCAATCCCCGCTGAGCACTGATAACAACCCTAAAGAGGCACTGGAAAGGAAACACAGTCATTTTTCTTTCTTCATGGTATACCTTTTCGGGACCGGGACCAAGAAAAGCCAGGTCGTTATCATTTGCCAGTCCTGCAGTGCCACAATTCATTAAACTGATATGGATGCTTTTTATAGCATTTCCTTTCTTGTCAGAACATGAATCTTCCCACTCAGAGTATCCAAAGGTTCTGTTGTGTTTATAATTGCTTAGTGTAAAAAACCATTACAAATACATTGTAGGATAATGGAGAAAGTCCCTCGTTTTCAGAAATATGCAGACTCGCCCTTGAGGACAGAGACCACGTTTAACATCCTGTCAGTCATCAGGCACTTCACACACAGTGAGGCACAGTGGCCGCTCCTTCACTTGATGATGGATCTGTTCATTAAACTACGCTGATTAAATGCATGAGAGTTTTCAAATACTGTCTATGATAAGGAGTTTGAACGTGCTCATGTTTACATCATTTAATGAAAAACAATTCCTCGGAAGAGATTGTTAACAAACTGTAGTGACATTGGTATTTTATAGGCATTGAAAAACATCGAGAATAAAAAACTTTATGCTTACCTCTAGTCTCACGGTTTATATTTTGGTTAAATTATATTCTTGGTACAAAAGTAAATCCAGGTGAGTAATACTCATGTATATTGGATAGTCATAAAATAATTACGAGATTCTATTGAAGACATTCTTAGAAAAATATCACCTCTAAGTATGTCCATGCAGATAATATATAAACAAACCAAATATGAGCTCAACTATATCATTTTTAAATGTTCCAGACTCCACTCATTTTCATTTCAATTCTTTTCACGCCACTCCTCCTCCTCGTCAAGCAGAGCACCTACTCTAAAATGTTTTCCTTTTAGCAAAGCATCCCGTTTACTGTTCATTTTGTTGCATGCAACACAGGAGAGAGCATTTATCGTTCCTTTCTTTGGCTATAAACATTACAACAGACATTATCCATAATTTTAAATGAGTCCTTGTCCATTCGTTTCCCTGGGGCAGAGCCTGAACTCAGTCTTTGAATTTTACATGACTAAGCCACATTCTAATTTCTTCTTTGTTTTTAAGCAGTTGAGGTTTCTGTATCTTTTTATTTAAACTCAGTTCAAGTTTTTTAAAACACTTTTTCCTCAAGGGGAAATGTATTGGGATTATCTGATTGTAAGCGTTGTTATTCTTTTGTTGAAAACATTCATCTTTTCAAAAGGTAGAAACCTTAACTGAGCCAGGCTTTATCATTCCCTTTGGTGACCTTCCTTCTATATTTTTCTATGGATAAAGACCTATGTGCTTTTTTTTTCTTTCTTTCTTTATTTTTTAGAGAGAGAGGGAGAGAGAAATAGAAACAATAATGAGACAGAACATCGATTGGCCACCTCCTTTATGTCCCCCACTGGGTATCTGGCCCACAACCTGGGCCTGTGCCCTGACCAGGAATCGAACTGGTGACCTCTTGGTGCATGGGTCAACACTCAACCACTGAGCCACACCAGCCGGGCAGTGCTTTATCTTTTATTATTATTATTGTAGTAGTAAATTATATGTAACAAAATTTACCATTTGTAACTGTACAGTTCAGTGGCATAAAGAGCACTCACATTGTTGCACAACCATCATCACCATCCATGCACAGAACTCCTCTCACTTTGCAAAACTGAAACTGTGCTCATGAAACCCTCTCCCCAGCCCCTTGTAACCACCATTCAACTTTCCATCTCTATAAATCTGGCTATTCTAGGTTCCCCATCTACTCCACTTCATGCCTCTGTCTCACACCCACCTCACATTCAGCCTGCCTCGAACTCAACTTTTCTCCTTCCACGCTCATGTTCCTCCTCTCCCCTCCATTTCCTGTCTCAGAGATTGGCACCTGCATGACCTTATTTCTGAAGCCTGAGTTAGTCCACATCCACCCTCCATGTAACTGCCTTCATGCAGGCTGGCATGGTCTTTTTCTGAGCGTACTTTAACAGTCTCCTCATCCAGTCCCTCTCCCTGCAAAGGAAGCCCTCTTTCTAAGATGCAAATCTGACCACATCACTGTATTGCTGAAAACCCTCCCCAGCTCCCCACTGCTTTTAGGATAAAGTCCAGATCCCTGACATGACTGACAAGGGCCTTAATTATATCACCTCTAAATTATTTACCTCTTCAGCCCCATCACTAATCATTGATTCTTTCCTTTACCCCACACCCTAAATTTCAGCAGGACGGCATTTCTTTTCAGTATCTGTAACAGCCCTGCACACTCTCAGCAGACAGCTTGTAGCTGCAGCTCCTTCTCTCTGACACACTACTCCCTCCTCCCCTCCATCCAGCTCACTTCTTTCTACCCATCCTTTAGGCCTCAGCTTACTAACGACTGAGACTGCTAACGTTTATTTTGCTGTTGCTATGGTCTGGGCACTGCTCTGAGCTCCAGCATATATTTAATTTACTTAATCCTCATAACAGCTTTATAGAGAAATGGCAAGGCTATCATCTTCTCCATTTTATGGGTAAGGAGGAATTCAGTAACACACCTGAAGTTACACAGCTCTGATGTAGCAGAGCCAAGATGGAAACCTCCACTGTAAGGTCCAGGCCCTTGTTCTTAACTACTGCTCTGCACTGCCCCCATCAGCTTAGCTGTCACTTCAGGTTGCTTAAATCTGCCAGCATGTCCTCCTCTATCTCTAGGAATTTCTCCTACCATAAAATTTAACAAACTGTATCAATTGTGTTTCCATAGCTTATTACAACTGCTTGTGATCACTTACTGCAATTAAGTTACAGTCCCTGGAAATTTAGTGAGGGCAAGGAGGGGTCTTTTTTATTCATGCCTGGCAAATAGCAGGTCCATAGTAAAGATGTTCAGCGAATGAATAAATGCATGAAGAATACCCTAAGAGCTATAAATGGATTAGAACAAGAGTGTTCCTGGAACAGCAGAGGAAACTAACCTAGAAATATCTAGAAAAACAATTATTGTTTCTCTTACTCCGAGAGGAAATAAAGGTTAAAAAAAGAAAAAGGGTGGGGGATCTGGAGAGAAAAAAAGAACTTTGATGTGGAAAAGCTGGAAAAAATGTACATATAACTTTTAACCTTTAGATAAGAAGAAAAATATTTACTATAGGAACTGAAACCCTTAATTATATTCAGGGGATACATGGGTATATATATTTTTAAGCTTTTGCTGTTTTTTGTTTTGTTTCTGTTTTCAGGATTGAGTTAATTATCTCAACACAAAACATTTCTGTACAATTAGAGTTAGTTATGGATTCTAAAACTTGAATACATGCTAAAGGTATCTTGAGAACAGAGAAGATTACCAGCTTTTTGAAAGTATGTTTCAGTGAAGAGACTAAGAAAATAAACAAAAAACACGCATAGACAACAGTATGGTGATTACCCAAGGGACGGGGGTGGGGGAGTGGGGGGGCGTGTAGGAGAGGGTAAAGGGAGATAAATGGTGATGGAAGGAGACTTGACTTGGGGTATTAAACACATAATACAATATACAGATGATGTATTGTAGAATTGTACCCCTGAAACTATATAATTTTGTTAACTAATGTCACCCCAATAAATTCAATTAAAAAAAAAAAGAAAATGTTTCCTAGCTCCATCAGGAGACTGACATGTCATTCATTCATATTTAGAAAGAGTATGAGTGTTGGGACATGAGTATTTTTTTTTTTTTTTTTTTTTTTAATCCTCACCCGAGGACATTTTTCCATCTTTTGTTCAGGTAGAATGGGAGGGAGAGAGAGAGAGAGAGACATCGATGTGAAAGGAACACATCGAGTGGCTGCCACCCGCACGACTGACCAGAGCCGGGGACAAACTGCAACCGAGGTACATGCCCCTAGCGGGAATCGAACCCGGGTCTCTCAGGACCGCAGGCCGATGCTTTAACCGCTGAGCCAAACCGGCCAGGGCGGGACATGAGTATTAAATGATGCCTCCAAATATTGGTGATCCACTTCTTTCTCATTACTTGGGGCAGACTTTCAGTGGGCGCTATAGGAAGAGGACTACCAAGGTGATTAAGAAGGAGCACTTCATAGATAGTTGTGTGTTTGTCCATTTCTTTGAAGGCTCCTCTTTAGGAAAGAGTGTGAGCTATTTCCCCCTGAATCTTCCCACACCATCTCCTTTGCGACAAGCACTGTTCTAGGCACTGAGAATAGAACCGATACAAACCCCCTTCTCTCTGACACATTTTCTCAAAGTGTATGATCTACCTTCAGAATTCTTTATCTAGATAGCTGGAGTTTGTTTGGCTTTTCTTTATTTTGGTTTTAAATCTGTTTTTTGTTTTGTTTTGTTTTTCTCAATAAACTGGAAAGGATGGAATGGAGGATGGTTTCTGAAACTTTTACTTGGAAAGTCACATTACTTTCTTACATGAAATATCAATAGAGTTGAATGATGGATAAATGGTCCTCATATTTAGAACCCTCTTTCATGGACCTCTCATGGGGCACAAATCCTCAAAAGGTTGTTCCTTTGTGAATGTCCTCATGTTGTAAGCTATCTTTGGGAATGAGGATTACAGGTAATATATATATTTGTGGGGTTCTTTATGAGAAATTTAATATGTCTACTTCAATTACAGTTTACTTTCAGTATTATTTTGTATTGGTTTCAGGTATACAGCATAGTGGTTAGATAATCATATACTTTACATAGTGTTTCCCCTTGGTATTTCCAATACCCAACTGGTACCATACATAGTTATTGCAGTAGCATTGACTGTATTTCTTATTCTGTACTTCTTGTTCCCTTGACTGTTTTGTAACTACCAATTTGTACTTCTTAATCCCTTCACCTCCTTCTCACAGGTGATTTATCAGTAGCACTTAACAAGTTAGAGTGAAATAATGGGTGAATGTTGGTAGCTGTCACCAAAGGCATCGCAGGGACATGAGTTTTGAAACATGGAAGGGGCTCAGGTTATAGAACAAGGTGTGGATTTCTAGGCGTCTGGGAGGAACATGAGGACACAAGGCGGAGCTGTGAGCAGACAGCAGTTCAAAGATAAACCTCCTTTGCTTCCCCCTCCTCTGATGTAACCTTGAGACCTTCTCCAGCAAATAGATCTAAGCAACTTTTCAAACCTGACGTTTTCTGCATTCTAATTAGAAGAAGATATAGGAGGAAGACAGGTGACAGGAAGCACTGGGTAAACATAAAAGTGTTTTCATTCCATCTTAAGTATTTAGAGGATTGAATTAAGATTGATTGTGTAATCTCAAAATAGGACCATGATGTGTAGAAATTTGTGTTCAAAGCAATTCTCCTGCAAATGGACGCTAAGTCATAGGATCATGCATACATATAACTGTCATTTAATTTTTGCAAGAATAAATTTGTTTGGTTGTGTTGAATTATCTGCGATCCTCATGGCCCAAACTTAACAGAATAATTTCTAAATTATTTGTATAAATACTATAGGAAGTATTTTTCCCCCAAGGCAACAAACAGGTTTGTTTACTAATCTAAAACATTTCTTTCTAAAATTAAACTTCAATCTTTTCTCTCAAATTTTTCTTCTGAGTTGGTCACAAATTAATTCTTGGGTACAGCTACCCTCACAGGTGTTTGAAATCAAGAGGCGCTTCCCTCCCAGAGTATTGCTTTTGCGACAGGATGTAATTTATTCTGCCCCCTGAACTCCGCCCCGTGTTCTTTCCTGTTGCAGGGATTCCGGCCACTGAGCTGTGAGTACAAGATGGAAAATGTAACCAGAATGGTGGTGTGTGACCTTGGGAACCCTATGGTGGCTGGAACAAACGTAAGTGAAAACCAGAAGCACTTACTGATTTCTGTCTAATTGAATTTTAAAAGAAACTAATGGAAAGCTCCCCAATTAGCACTCAGCCATTTAGCATGTAGCAATTAAAACAAATTAGGCAGGAAATTACCAGACCCAGGGTAGAGGGATTTAGCATCCAACACAGAGTGGATAATCTAAGGTTAAAAACACAAAAAGATGAATGCTTTTGTATGCTTTCTTTTTGGACATTACTCTTGGAGGTCTTTTAGTCGAAACAAATATATTAATGCTATTTTTTTACTACAGATTTTTTTCTTTGACTATTTTTTTTAAAATTTACTACAACCTTTTTTCTTTGAATTGAAAAACTAATATGATGTAAGTATTTACGAATAACAATTTAAAATTTTAGCAAAGATGATTAACTTTTTATTTCCAATATATCTTCCATATGAGTATCATTCACAGTATTTTCATATTAAAGTATTATAATAATTCAGTTTTTAAATCAGCTTTACCAGGGATCATCACTTGAAGACCTGGTATCTTACCTGAAGAATAATACAGAAAAATGTAGCAAGAAAAAGAAAGAGTTAAGATCTGTAATAGCGCTGGCCAGTTTGGCTCAGCGGTTAGAGCGTTGGCCTGAGGTCCGGAGAGACCCGGGTTCGGTTCCCGCTAAGGGCATGTACCTCGGTTGCAGTTTGTCCCCGGCCCTGGTTGGTCGTGTGGGTGGCAGCTACTCGATGTGTCCCTTTCACGTCGATGTTTCTCTCTCTCTCTCTTCCTCTCTCTCCCTCCCACTCTATCTGTACAAAGAATGGAAAAAATGTCCTCGGGTGAGGATAAAAAAAAAAAAAAAGATCTGTAATAGCTTATGGAGGAATGAGTTGGGTTTTTTTCTCTTCCCCGTCTTCTCCTCTCCTCCACCTCCCCCCACTCCTGCTTTCCTTTCTCCTCTTTCACCAGCTTCTCCTCCTCATTCTTTATCTTTCTTTGTTTCCATATTTATGAACTTGCCATTCAGTATTACTTGTGGACAACAAATTTATTTGTCTATGTATACACATAGGAGCTTCTAATGATAAATATCACAGTGGAAATAATTATTTTGAAGTCATAAATCAGAAAAAAATCTGAAATCTGCAAATACTACTCAATTGTTACATAAACTAAACATATACCTCCCTTGATTTTAAATTAGATGTTTTTTATTATCAGTGGAATGGTTTGTTAGAAAAAATTTCTGAAAATTATAATTGCATAGGTTTGTATTAGAACAACTTCCCAAATTATATTATAAAGAGTGCTGATCCCTTGAGATGAGCCTTTATAGGAGAGTTCTGTGGTCACTGCTGAATGTCATAACTTCTGGGACACTCAGGTGCATGTTTCAAGGTACTGAGAAGTGCTGCAGTAAATAAAGCTCTTAGCCCAGTGTTCGAGCATTTGAAACTTTCTATCAAGAAATACCTATTCCCAATTTATACTTCAGGATATTGTACTAGAATAACATTTTTGCTTTTTACAATATAATAAACACTATATCCTTGATCCTGGGTAGTTAAAAAAGGTACCAAGCTATAGTCTAGTGGACTCACTTCTTGGTTCAAAAAAAGAAATGTTTAAATGAAAGATAAACTTTTATAAGCTAACATGTATTGACTGCCGTCTTGTTATAAACCCATTACTGGATGTTTTTTTAATCTCATTTAATTTTCACAACAACCAACAACTCTATGAGTCAGGTATTTCTCTTATGTTATGTCTGAGAAAACTGAGACTCAGAGAAGTCAAATGAATTGCCCAAAGTCACACAGGCAATGAAGGACAGACCCAAGATTTGAACCAGGCCTGCATACATCCCATCTGCAAAATTGTGATAAGTACTTGGATGAAAACTAATGTATAACAGATGAGATATTTAAACAAGGCCATGAAAAACAGAATGGAAATTTAAGCTGAGATAGTAAAACATTTTTCTTTAAAATCCCTTTTACTAGAAGCTAATAAATCCTTTTGCTAGTTTTCGACAACAATCCAACCACCTAATTTGATATGAAGAGTTCTCCCTAAGGCCAGAGAGAAATGAATTGACATGGTGGCAATGGTGTTAGCATCTATAGCTGACTGGGCACTTATTTCTTTTTTCAGTATTAGAAGTATTAAATCTAGACCAGAGATCATCTAAGCTCATCAGCTAAGAATAATCATGGAACAACTGGCCACCAGTGTCATTCAAAGTGGAGGCTAAAATGGCAGTGTGGTCTTAACCACAAATGTGTTTATGTGAAATGATGTCAATCCGTTTTACCAGCAAGTAATCTTTAGAAGTCAAGGAAGTAAATTGTTTCTATTCATTTATCTCTGAGCTCTATAGTGGACGAAACCTAATAGCTTTCTTATCTCACCCTTTAATGCCCTTAAACACATCCAATTTTATTGCATTCTGTTTTGTTATAAAACACTTTGATTTATTTACTTTGTTTTGTACTTTAAAAAAGAACACTCAGTGGATTGTAGTAAAATTCCAAATGTAAAAGCAATCCTTAATATTTAAAATCATCATAAATCTCTAGGAATATCTATTCTAGTCCCAATATTTTAAAGAAATAGTTTTTAAGCGACTTTATGTTTTAATTTAACAAAACATTCAAGGCAGTTTTCAAAAGTGTTACTTCTGATTTGTAAGTAGTAATGTCAGTTTTATAGAATAGTTATAGTAATATAAAATATTTATATGCTAATAATATTTATAATAATTTGCAAATATCTTTCAAGCAGGAAACAAGAAAACAGTGGTTCAACAAAGGCTCCTTGGAGCTGGTGTTTGGTTCCAGTTAAGAACAGATGCATTTCTTAGTAGTACGCTTTTGTCACACCTTTGTATCTTCACCCCATGCTGAATTGTTCTATACTGAAGACCAACCTTAGGCAGGTTTCATCACAATATAGTGACATCCTCATCCCTGGAAATGTACAAACAATGGCACATGCTTTCTCATTATTCTTTTGTGATGACAAATAACCAGTTTTATTGCCACCCCCTCTATATGCCTGACTAGAGTCTGGTAAAATTAAGATGAAAATACACAACCCCTATTCAATAAGAAACTAAAAATTAGCAATATCATGGGTTGAGTGATAGAGTAGTGAAGAAGGAGAGAGGAAATTTCTGCCTGACCGAGCATATGGGATCAGAGGATATAATGCAGGAGGCATCTCTTGTCCTGAGCTCTGAAATATGAGCAGGAGTTCTCCAAATAGAAAAGGTAGAGGAAGGCTTACAAGGTTTCCAAGGAAGAAAGAAGAGCATGTGCAAAGGCCCAGAGGTCTGACAGAAAATTGCACATTTGGAATAAAAGTATTCATGATGGACGGGACATAAGGATGCATAGACTTAATAATGAGATATACCTGGGGGTAAATCCCAGCTTTGCCATTTATCAGCTCTGATGCCTCAGGCAAGTCACAATGAAGAGGGAGAATACCTTTTGTAGGACTGTTTGGAGCGATGCAATGATGTGATATAAAGCACTAGTGGCTTTACGCCAGGGCAGTCCTTGGCTTGTAGCACATTCAGGAAGGGTAAAATGATCATTTATGATAAAAATGATAATTTATTACTGCTTTATAATAGCCTGAGTTTTTAATTACAAGTTTGATTCTCATAGTGGAGTAGAGTGGATACAGAATCTGGAGTCAGCTTGGAAGGATTTTTATTCCAACTCTACAGTTTATTTGCTCTGTACCTGGAGCAAGTCACTTATTCTTTTTTCTTTTTCTTTTTTTTTCCCCTTTATTGATTTTTAGGGAGAGGGAGAGAGAGATAGAAACATCAATGAGAGAAAACATTGATTGGCCGCCTCCAACATGCCTCCCACTGGGGATTTGGCCCACAACCTGGGAATGTGCTCTGACCAGGAATCGAACTGGCAACCTCTTGGTGCATGGGTCGACGCTCAACCACTGAGCCACACTGACAAGGCTCACTTCCTCTTTTTACTCCTCAGATTGCTGCTTGATTGCAAAATGTCAATAATCACAGTACCTACCTCCTAGAGTGGTATAATGAGACAATGCATTGTCATGAGACAATGCATATTAGATTTAATACGGTGCATGGGTGAGGAATTCCTATCAATATATGTTTTAGCTATTTTTTTACTTATTTATATTATCATTGGATTTATTTTTCTCCAAGTTTTAAAAATCTGTTTTCAAATCATAAAAATAATAAGACAGTTTTGAAACTTTGGAGAATAAAGGAGGAAAAAACAATCCACACATTTACATCCTTAACATAATAGAATATAATTTGGTATATTTTCTTACAATACACCCTCACTCCCATACAATAACTTTTCCACTTACAGGCTTTTAAAACCAAAGCTGAAACACATCACACATACAACATTGTAACCCTTTTTATTTATTGATCATCATTATATCAGAAGTGTTTTTCACATTCTTGCATAAGCTTCATAGCTATGATTTCAGAGACTACATAAATGTCTGTCATAAAGTAGCACCATGCTTTTCTAAATAAATGTCCTCTCATATATTTAGGTTGTGTTTAATTTGGCACACAAGAAGATGTCAGGAGAAGAGTTAGAACGGGGCTAAATGAAGAGAGGGAACCAAAATGTATAAGGACTGGAAGTCTGTGCCCTACAGTCTCAATTGCATGACTTCCTCCCGGCTCTCGGCCATCCAGGGTGGAAGCAGGAAGAGGAACAGCAGTTGAGGGTGGAATTTTGCAGGATGCCTTTATAAGATTTTTATGCTGTGTGTAAGTTTCTTCTCATGTAATAACACAGTGTCTTATTTGTATGTGTGTGTGTGTTTTTATTTAGTATTCTCTGGGCCTCCGATTTGCAGTCACACGTCTTGAGAAAACAAACGTGAGCATTAACTTCGATCTTCAGATCAGAAGGTTAGACCTTGAGATGCCTAACACTCAGTATTAAAGAGATCCACAGGGAAATGAATGCTACTTGTTAAACTCCTCCACCATCTGAAATTAGAACCCAGGCTTTCACAGCTCACTTTTTCTTTGTGTTTCTCAGTTATTTCATTTTTGGTTGTTGCTGTTTTTTCAATATTTTTGGTTCTGAAAGAGAGATTGAATTCTGTAGGCCAAGTTATGAGAGTAAAATGTGCTGGGCACCCTGCACCCCCCTTCACCTCCATTTTTTTTCATTCTGATGCACATGCCTTCTGCCTCTCCCCCACCCCCACATCCTCACCATGCTCTCAGTTGGGGGTCAACTAATCCCTAAGAACAAAATTTCTGCAAAAAAGCATAGATCTTGCATTAGAAATCTTGAAATCTTCGAACTTTTCAAGAATGAATGAGTCTCTGATGGTTCACTGTGAGCACCAAGGCAAGATGCAGGTAAGGCCATTCACAAGATGGGCACAGGTAGGTTTACGGTTGTGAATATATGAAACACAGAGTTTATTCTTATATTATTATTTATTAATTCTTGTGCTGTATTATTTTCCATACAAACAACTGTTAACCTACTTTTGCCCCACCCTGTATTCGAAGGGCAAGGCCTTCTTCGGCAACAATAAGCCAAATCATATGTAGCTGTACCCCCACACACACTTTTTCTTTTTTATCCTCACCCGAGGACATTTTCCCATTTTTTTGTTCAGGTAGAGTGGGAGGGAGAGAGAGGAACAGAGAGAGAGAGAGAGAAACATCGATGTGAAAGGAACACATCGAGTGGCTGCCACCCACACGACCGACCAGGGCCGGGGACAAACTGCAACATAGGCACGCGCCCTTAGTGGGAACCGAACCCCGGTCTCTCAGGACCGCAGGTCGACGCTCTAACCGCTGAGCCAAACTGGCCAGGGCCCCACACACTTTTTCTAAGACTGCTCCTGCTCATGGAATTCAAGTGTGACCTTATCCTTCCACCATCTACTCTGTTTGCTCCATCATAGCATTTCATGAATAGGAGACTTGTCGAGAGCAGTGTCTATGGAGGTCAGGGAGTCTCATCTGTGGACTGCAACTCATTATCCAGCAATGGAATCAATTTAATGACTCTACACTAATAATAAAAGAAAAGGCAATTGATGGAATGTCATACATCAGAGTCCTAGTCGTGAAATGTCCCTTTGAGATACAGGTAAATATAGTGAAATGCCCTGAAAGATGTGTGTGTGTGTATACACACACACACACACACACACACACACATATACATATATATATATATATTACTTTGTGGTCTGCAATTTAAAAAGTTGGAAAGACACTGATGTGGACAGCACATGTGGCCCTTCCATAGTATTTATAACTTGCCGAACATATTCTAATATGAAAATGACTCTGAAGCCGGTATCTATATTTTACTCTCAAATACTAGCGTGCAGTGTGGCTAATTTCTAAATGTACCTCTGTCCTGCGGGAGGGTGTCATTGGAATGGGAGGACTTTTAGAAAAATTATTCTGCACAATGGATTATTTTTAATAGCTACTTAACTAGAAGTTTAGGATTAAGAAAAAGATAATAAACTCTATAAAAATGTAGGAGATTTCAAAAATCTGCCATTTATGTCACAAACCATATGTCCCCCAAACTTGGTGGTGCTATATTTCTAGGGAGAAAGCTTTTCTAATTGACTTTTGATATCCTTTTCTGACCTTAATTAAGTCTTTTTAAATTAAACAAATATTTTTGCCCTGGCCAGTTTGGCTCAATGTTTGGAGTGTTGGCCTGTGGACCAGCGAGTCCTGGGTTTGGGTCCTGCTAGGGGCACGTACCAAAAAAAAAAAAAAAAAAAAAAAATTAACAAATATTTTCTGCTAAATCTTAAAGACTTTAAAAAATTTTTTACCCAAATTAGTGATGGAATGTATATGGAATGAATTCTTCTTCATTATACCCTTCATTGTACCAAAGCTTATTAAATCACTTTTTAATTTACATAAATGTATATTTCCCAAGAGGTTTAGTAGTCATAAATATTCTCATTTGGGTAATTGGTTAATATGTGTAAGTTATCATTAAAAAAAGAAAGACCATTCCATAGGGAAGGACCACCGTCGCTCCAGACAGTAGGCCAAAGTTTCTGTTTCTCGCCATCATCGTCTGTGACATTGATCCCAATGGTGGCATGTAGCTTTGTGTCACTTAGCAAAAGATACACCTTTCATAAAATATACAGGCTTTATTTTGAAAGAAAGTCTGTTACAAAGTGTGAAGCAAATTTCTTGCCCTTTCCCCATTGCTTTTGACTGCAGTTACAGACAATAGAATAGATGCAATTTGCTGTTCACTCAGGGAGCAGATGATGCTAAATAATGTCCTTGACCTTCCCCAAATCCATCCCATGGATCACCACTGAAATACTGATTTCGGTGATGAAGTGCCAAATTTGGTGGAAAGTAGAAATAATCATTCTCAACATCTCTCTTCATCTAAAAGAAAAATGGGCCATGCTTATTCCATCTTTATATACTATAAAACTTATGACTATTGTAACATTATCTTTAAAAAATATATAAAAATGCAGAAAGTACTGGGGAGCCTCCATAGAGCACCAAATTCCAAAAACATGCATTATAGAGATAAAAGCATTTGAGAATATGTTTAATACTCGAATACATACTAAAGTATTTGAGAATTGAGCATTTATCTGCATGCTTTCCTGGCAGACCCCAAAGATGTAAATAAGTATTTAGTGGATGGTTTGCATCCAGTTAAAATGTGTTTAAACCAAAAATAAACTAAACCAAATGCCCTGAAGTCTAAAGCTTTTGACCATATTGACCACTGTTACCCACATTTAAAGCCCTTTTCCACAAATAGAATTCAAGAGAAAACTGGGCTTTATGAATTAAACAAAATATTTTGTGTTACCAAATGTTTGCATTTAATGGTGTCTCCATGCCCTGGATCTATGTGACATGGAAACATCTTCCTCCCTGTGAGGAGCAGGTATCAGATAGAAGTTCCCATGCACAAACACATCTTTGTGATCATCGTTGCTGTTGCTCCCTCAGTAATGGTGAAATGGACATTGTATTGTCTTTGCTGATATTTCAAAGATCACAGAAAGCACAGAGGGATTGCTGGACAATAGAAAATAGGACACGGCAAAGAAAAAAAAATTGCATTGGAGTGAAAGGTAAAAAACATGTCTATCTTTGGTGCATGACATAGAGTGTAGTTCTGGAGAGGAAATTCATCACTCCCTGGGTAGAACTAGCCCTGATGTATAAATAACTCTGCATCCATGGCAGTGATGAATTGCTTGTTTGAATATAGCAGTGGTATTAGTAAGGTAACTCTGCTTCCAGGAAAGAGGTCAAAAAAGCATCTAAGTTATAGATCAAGCCTGGTATCTTTCTCACCAGGAGATTTTTGTTGACATCACGGGTTGCAGTACCAAGTGTCACGGCAAGCTTGTGTGACAGAGGATGATTTTGATTAGCCAACCAGGTCTACCTTCCAAATCTGCCTTTACTTTTGCTAAATTTCAAAACTGCCTCTGTGAGGCTCATGTTGGACTCCTGTCCCAAGATAATTTCAATGTTTAACATATATTTATATTTTCAGTGCATTGTGAGTAATGAAAATCATGTCATTTAAACTTCTTAGAAACAAAATGCATTAGAATTATGGGATAACTTAAATGACACTTTCTCCCCATAATTCTAATATCCACTTCCACAAAGTGGTAATGAACTAGAAAATAGAAGAAAATCTGGTTAATCTATGGAACAATTAGACTTAAATTTCCAGACTAAAGAGTTCCCCGTAATGGATTTGGAACCACCAAGTCTGCAACAAGTGGAGTTACTTAATGACTTCTTACTGGTTAGTAATTTAGAAACCTGCCTTAAAAAGAAAGAAAGAAAGAAAAAGTTTTAGTTGACTGATCCTCCCCAGATGTGATAATAATAAAATGGCCTGGAAACTGGGGTTCAAACTTTGGTGATCAAGTCCCTCTAGGCTCATCACAAGCTTAGCAGTGATACCCCATTACAGGAAATAAGCCTGACATTTGCCTGTTTATATCTTTTATGTGTGTTTGCAGTTTAAGTTGCCTCACCAGTATATACAATCAAACAGGACTTTTCAAAAGCAATGTGGGAACAATTCTGTCTCCTCCTTCTTTGAAAGCAGACTTTTATCCTGTCTTTTCCAGTTCCCACATTTGGAAAGCTTCAAAAGCTAATCAGAACATACCCCATTACCATCATCACAGTGTTAGAGTCTGTCCATTGAGTCCGTGTGAGGTTCCATGAGAAGCGGAGGGGGCTTTCTCTTCCTAATGAGACCTGAATGTAAACATAGCCTATTAGTGGTGGTGTGGCCATGTCTCAGTTTGCTACACACTGCAGAGTCCTTTGGGATATTAGGGTGACTTTGATAAAAGCACAGAAGGGCAATAAATGCAAGTGGAATTGCATCCAAAGCTCAGTTACTGGGTCAAACTATCTAATGAAATAGGTTATGAGACATGTTTTATTTTCCTGACAGTACTAGCTGCTTAACACATTCTTTAAATTAAATTTCATACCTAATTATATTTGCTTGAGAGAAAGAAACAGCAAACTTGCAAATCATTTTTACCACTGTGGAAATGAATATTATTAAACATGTACCTTCCATCTTCGGATTAAAATATTTTTTTAAATTTTTATTTATTGATTTTGAAGAGAGAAACATTCATTTGTTGTTCTACTTACGTGTGCATTCATTGGTTGATTCTTGTATGTGCCCTGACTGGGGATTGAACTGGCAACCTTGGCATATCGGGGCAATGCTCTAACCAAGTGAGCTACCTGCCAGGGCCCCATCTTGAGATTCTTGATGCACGTGACATGTCATCTCACCATTGGCTATGCTTCTACTCTCACCCTAGTCAGCCAGTGGAGCAGGCAGTGAATGTATACTTATTTTAATATTACTTAAGAAATAAACCATAAGGAAGATAAATTTGCTGCCCAAACAATGTGTGTGTGTGTGTGTGTGTGTGTGTGTGTGTGTGTGTGTGTGTGTATATATATATATAGTATGATGCATTCCAGAGCCAAATGCAAATGCTTTTTCCATTATGTGCAGCTCTTGGATTATTCTTGCCAGTCCTTCTCTTTATGAGCATAGAAAATCAGGAGTTGACTGTGCTGACCTTTTTCATTTGATGGGCAATGAATATGATGCTCAGAGAAGTTAAGGAATGTGTCCTAAATAGATGCTAAAAAATGAACTCAGCTCACTGCCTTTTTGGTTTAGCCACTGAAACAAATAAAAAAAGTGTTAGCTTCTCTAGATATTAGTTGTTCTTTCTGATAAGGTGTCTCCTCATGAGAAGTTAAATTCATTAGTTTTGATCATAATGGATCTTAGCATTTCCATTTATAAATGGTTATGATTTCATAGAATTGATATGCCATTGCTTTCTGAATGATCCTGTTGGTAATGTGCATTGCTCACGTAATATACAAAATGTTTTTTATGATCATATTTATAGTAACATGTCTGAGAAAATGTATTTAAATTATGTTATTGTGTTCTAGTTCCAACAAGGAAAACCCAGGCAGCAATTTTGAGAGCCTGCAAATCTACGTCACTGCTGCAGCTCAAGTAGAAATAAGAGGGTAGGTAATAAACAAAGCATTGTGGTAGTCATACTACATATCATAATAATTTTTGGTATGTGAGAGTAATGATAATATACTAGTAAAAACTATATGAAATTTTCCTAATGCATTCAAGATCACATTTCACTTTGGTTATAAATTTTCATTCTTTTCTACCCATCATTAGCCTTCTATTGCAAAGTAGAGTGAACCCTGTATGGTAATTAAGTCTAAGGATATCAGAACAAGGACTCACTTTATTCCTCAAACTGACAGTTTAGTAATCAAACTATACAAGCTATTGATAAAAAGACAGATAAAATAGACAACCATGTGACTGCCTGAAAGTCTCACTTCAATAATTATGTTGGCATAATGAAAATTCAGCCTCACCATACCACATCTTGAGTTTCAGAAATGGCTAACTCTTAGATGTAAGGGTTGATGGGATCACATTTTATATCTTTTTCATTCTGTCCTGTTCTTTGAAGAAGGTGCCAATAAGCAACCAATCAAGAGACAAGAGAAGAGTGGTCAAGTAAAAGGCTTGGAATAACTACCATCCTGGAAATTTGTGCCGGGGGGAAAAGAAGCCAGAAATGGACTGCATATAGTTCTTGTCTTGCACAAGCATGGACTTCGTTAATTTTATTTTCATTCTTGTTTCTTCAGAGCAATCATGTTGGCTAAAAATGTCAACTGTTTTTTTAGGCTAAATTGTCACTGGTACTCCAGCAGTCCGGTTCCCTGTTACTTTCCCGAGTGGTTGACATTCCTCCATAATGACAACTATAGATCTCCGCACTCAGAGCCATTGTCACCACGGTTTTCTTACTGCGGTCCCCCTGCTGCTCTCAAGGAAGGGGGGTGTCTCCCTGCTATCCCGGCACCACTGCGGCTCCACCTAGTGGATTAGAAAATAACAATAATGCCTAACATTTATTGATACTTTCATGTGCTACCTTAACATGTTAGGACATCTTAATATATATTAGTGTCCTGGCCAGTGAGGGCATATTGGCACCAGGAATTAAAGGCTACACAGCTAGGAAGTGGGGGCTGGATACAAGTACAGGCAGCCTGTCTCCAGGTGCATGTTTATAAATGATCAGCTATGCAACCAAAGAGAGAGATTTTTGAACCTTATTTACATAAAAATCTCACTTTATGTTGCTTCTGTGTTTTTTTTTTATTCAAATGAACGTTTTGACATTCACCCACTTTAGTCCATTTGCCTAGAGTTCATTCATTTTATTTATTCATTTATTTATGTATTTATTTATTTACTATTATTATTTTTAATCCTCACCTAAGGATATTTTTTCTATTTGTCTTCAGACAGAGTGGGAGGGGAAGAAAGAAAGAGAGAGAGAAACATTGACACGAGAGGGACACATTGACTGGTTGCTTCCCACAAGACCCCAACCAGGGCCAGGGACACACTGTAACCAAGGTATGTGCCCTTGGCCGGAATTGAACCCGTGACTCATTGGTCCATTGGCCGACATTCTAACCGCTGAGCCAAACTGGCCAGGGCTGCATTCTACTCTTGATAAATATTTGGGGTATTTCTTTTTACAAATTTTCTTGTATATATGTCCTATCAGAACAGTATATGCTCAGATGTGGAATTTCAGAATCAGAGATTGCTCCTCCTCCTCCTCATCATCATCATCCTCACCCAAGGATATGTTTGTTGATTTTTAAAGAGAAAGGAAGGGGGAGAGGGAGAGAGAAACATTGATATGAGGGAGAAACATTGATCAACTGTCTCCTATACACACCACAACTGGGGGTCAAACCTACAATCTAGGTATGTGACCTGACCAAGAATTGCACCCACAGCCTTTTGGTGTACAGGACAATGCTCCAACAAACTGAACCACTCAGCCAGGGTGTCCACTGCTTTACATTATTAATTAACTCAAAATGGTCCAGTTTTAAATTTTGGGTCAATCTTATGGATAAGAAATAGTATCTAACTGAAGGTTTCATTTGCAGTTCTCTGATTTCTAAATAACACTTAGCAGCTTTTCTATGTGTTTTTTTGGTTTGTTTTAACTATTCTGCCTATCCTCCTATTTGGGGAAATTTCTGTTCATTTTTTTGCGTATATTTATAGTAAGAGGCTAAACTTTTTCCAGTTATATTTTATATAACTGTATAAATTTTATATAATTTATATAATTCTATATTCTAGAGTTTAGACACTAATTATTTATCAGTTATACATATTGCAAATTGTTTCACAGCCTATGGGATTGGGTTTCTTTTTTTCATGTTTATTGCAGTATAAATTATATAAAGTAAAACTCACTTTTTTTTTTATCCTCATTGAGGACATTTTTGCATTTGTCTTCAGTTAGAGCAGGAGGGAGAGAGGGTGGAAGAGAGAAAGAGAAACATCAATGTGAGAGAGACATATCAACTGGTTGCCACCCACACAACCCCAACTGGGGCTGGAGACAACCTGCAACAGAGATACATGCCCTTAGCGGGAACCAAACCTGGGACTTTCTGGTCTGTGGGCTGATGCTCTAACCATTGAGAAAAACTGGCCAAGGCCAAACTCACCCATTATGGGTGTCCAATATGAAGAGTTAGGATATCATGAGAACATTCAATATAGAACAGTTTCATTGTCCTGGCCAGTTTGGCTCAGTGGTTAGAGTGTTGGCCTGCGGTCCAGAGAGACCTGGGTTTGGTTCCCGCTAGGGACATGTACCTTGGTTGCAGTTTGTCGCTGGCCCTGGTTGGGTCATGTGGGTGGCAACCACTTGATGTGTCCCTTTCACGTCGATGTTTCTCTCTCACTCCTTCCCTCCCTCCGTCCCACTCTCTCTGAACAAAATATAGAAAAATGTCCTTGGGTGAGGATAAAAAAAAAAACAACAGTTCCATCAACCCAAATAGTGCCTTCATGTACCTTTGTAGTCAACTCTGCCCCCAGCTACAGGCCCTGACAGCATTGATCTATTTGCTGTTTTTATAGTTTTGTCTTTTCCAGCAAATCATATAAATGCACAACGTAGCCTTTTGAGTCTGGCTTCTTTCACAGCATGATGCATTTGAAAACCATCTATGTTATTACCTATGTCAGTCATTTGTTTCTTTTTATTGCAAAGTATTCCACTGCATGGTGTCCCATAAATTGTTCAACCATTTATGAGTTGGTGAATATTTGGGTTATTCCAATTTGGAGCCATTAATAATATACCTGCTATATGCATTCACATACAGGTTTTTGTTGGGACATTCGTTTTACAAATTGAGTTATTGAGTTGAATGGCAGGTGTATGTTTAACTTTATAAAAAACTGGCGATCTGTTTTCCCAAGTGGCTACACAATTTCCATTTCCCATGAGCAAAGCGTGAGAGTTCCAGTCATACTGCATCCTGCCAGCATGTGCTTGAGGTTTATTTCTTTCTGTCTTTGTTTTTAGCCATTCCAGTAAATGTGTAGAAATAGCTCAGAGATGTTTTTATTAGCATTTTCTAATAATCAATGATATTGAGCATCTTTTCAGTGCTTATTTGCCATCAGCATCTCTTTTTTGGTTAAATGTCTCTTTAAATTTTTGCCCATCTATTTTTGGGTTGATTGTCTTATTTTTTAGTTGTAAAAATTTTTTGCATATTCTGAATACAAAGTAATTTATCAGGCCCTGGCTGGTGTGGCTTAGTTGGTTGGGCGTCATCCCATGCCCAGAATGGTTGCTGGTTTGATTCCCAGTCAGGGCACATGCCCAGGATTGGGGGCTTGATCCCCAATAGGGGGCGTGCAGGAGGCAGGTAACTGAAGTTCTGCTCTCACATCAGTGTTTCTCTCTCTCCCTCTGTAAGAAATCTTTTTAAAAAAAGATAATTAAAAATATATAATAATGATAACTTATTAGATAAGTATCCTTCAAAGATTTTCTCCCAGTTTATGGTGTTGCTTGTTATTTTCTTAACATTCATGTTCAAAGAGCAGAAGTTTTCCATTTTGATGAAATCCAACCTTGAAATATTTTATAGTCTGTGCTTTTTGTCCTATCTAAAAAAATCTTTGCCTTATCCAAAGTCACAAGATTGTCTTCTGTGTTTTCTTCTGTAAGTTTTCTAGTTTTACATGTTTGTCTATGAATAATTTTAATTTTTATATCTAGTGTGCGGTACGTACAAGGTTCATTTTTGCATGTAAATATCCAGTGGTTGCTGGGCTATTTGTTGAAAAAAAAAAATCCTTTCCCCATTGAATTACTTGACATGTTTGTTGAAAATTAGTTGTCCATCTTCATGGGTCTATTTTTGATTCTTCTTTTCTGTTCCATCGAGCCACATGTCTAATACGTCTTGAAGTGCAGTAGTGTATTTTGAGATCTTGGTAAATCCACAAATTCTAGTGGCTTCTTGTTTGTTGATTTACAAGGATTTTCTACAAAATTACCATTTTATCTGTGAGTAAAGACAGTTCTTTTTTTTCTTTTCTAATCTGTATATGGAAAGGGTTAGCCAACCTCAAAGTTAGAGGGACTAGTTTCCCCAGGAGATCACCCCACTTCTGACACCAACCCAAATTTATCCTCAGGTTCAGTAATTTATTTAGAAAAACTCATAAAACTCCTTGAAAGATTTATGCTCATGACACTGTTTACAAGGAAAAGGTAAAGATTAAAATCAGTCAAGGGTGAAATGCCTAAGTCAGAGCTCAGGGAAGTACCAAATACAGGGCTTCTATTGTTTTCTTTTGTAGAGATGTGTTACTGTCTTGGTGTTGACGTGTAACAGTATGCATAGAGTAAGGGCAACCAGGAAAGCTCACCAGAGACTCAGTGTTCACTTTTTTGGGGTCTCCATTGCATAGGCATGATTGATTTAAAATGACTACTTAATTGATCTGCTATGATTTGACCAAACTGCCCATCCTAAATCACACTTTTGGTCTTCTTGATGTGGCCAACCCCCACTTTATATCATATTTTTAGAATATCTGTTGTGACCCAAGATCCCCAGGCAAACAAAGATACTCCTTCCTC